CTGGAGGTCAAGAATTTAGATAAACTTTCTGTTTCCACCCTTGCCTAGCACTGGGGTAACAGATGCACACCGCAACACTCGGCTTTTATGTCAGTGCTGGGGATCTGAGCTCAGGAAGGTCCTCGTGCTGGGGGGTGGGCATTTTAACAGCTGAACCGTTTTCCCAGCCCTTGATCCCCCAGTCTTAATTAACAGTTGTCTCTGAGTCGATCAAGCCTGGATGCCTCTTTACATAACAGATGAGTCCAGAATCCCTGAACCAGGTCAGGGTTAAGGTCCCTGGGGAAGATTCTCTCTCTGTTTGATGAGCAGAGCACCAAGGTGAAGTGAAATGCTTTGCTCCAGATGTCAAAATCAGACACCAAGCACTTAAATCCACACCTCTGTAACTTATTCTAGCCTGTGATCCAGTCAGACTCTTGCAAAAGGCCCGGGTGGTTGGACTAGGTTCCCAGGCTAGCTCACAAAGGTCTATTAAACCTCATGAGGCTTAGCTGTGTTTCATGTGCTGTGCATCCTCAGTTGGTTATGAAACCTCTCTGGACTGCAGCGTCTCCATCTCTAAGAGTTACGACCCTGCAAGTGAGGTAGCTGAGGACCATATGATGCCATCTCCAGCAGCAACAGGACCGTGGCCACCCCACAGGTGGGCTGGTGCAGTGTGATAGCCCTCTCTCCACACTACTTCCCCTTTTCACCAGCAGGGGCAGGCGCGCCACCTGTGGAAGCCAAGGGACCGGAAGCAGAGCAAGGTCACACAGCAGATCGTGGGCAGCTGTCTGCGCACCCACTGGACACTCAGACAAAATAGATTGGGTTTGTTCCCAAGCTTCCCAGATGCTGTGACCTTGAATCTGTACCCCACTCCACTTTCTCTTTGATGCCCTCTCGACCTCTCTCTATTTTATCCACTTATCTGTGAAACGATTTTGGCCAAATACCTATTATATGTCTAGCTCTGTATTAGATCTCTAAGGATATATATATATATATATATATATATATATATATATATATATTACAATCTCTTTTGAAGTGATTCCTTTTCAAGAGGGGATCAAGGAAGATCTTAACTAAATAAACAGAAGAGAAGGCATGGTTGGACAGGTTCATACGTTCAACTGGAAAAACAATGCACATTCACACACACAGCCAGGGAGCCACAAAGCCATATACAACATGCTGAGGGGAGATGGAATAAAACACAGTTCCTTACAATATTAAACACATGAACTGGATGTGTTGGTTTTAAAAAGGGAGAAGGAAAAGTAGTCTGCACAAAGCGCACCAGAACCCTGTCTAACCCTCCGAGGACGAGTGGGTCACAGAGCTTGCTCAGTACAAGGGCTCCTTTTCCCAGTGGGAGCAAGCCTGACCTTACCTCAATCAACCACTACTAGGTTCTCTTCTGGCAGTTCCAGGGCACGTTCTGCTTCCTTTGTTCCTCTCTGGGGAATAGAGCCTGACACCAGAAGCCACTTAAAAGCCACACCCTTCCACCACCATGCAAGTGTGTATACGGGGTCTGTGCAGGGCCAGAGAGACACACCATGGGCTGCCACTCATTACAAACAAACAAACAACAACCACAAACCTAGCCAAGCTAAGGAACACTCAGATCATCCGAAGATGAACCCCAAAGCCAAGCCAGGTTACGGCCGTAATCTATACACATCTGCCAGCGAGGCAAATGGGGCAGAAAAATCAGCAGGCATTGCAGCCAGCCTGGCAGCTGGGGGAGGGATGGGCACACTCTGCTGGATAACCGTTGATTTAGAGAAGCTTTGCAAAGGGCAGCAGGCAAGCAGTCCTTACGTGGTGGTGGACACAAGCGGCAGCAATACACACAAGATGACATCTCAGAATTGTGACCACAGAATTAGCCTACGAAGGTCCATATGTCACTTATTGCTGTGAGACCCGACAGTTGAAGGGACAGGGCAGGGATCTTGAAGAGCCCGGCCCCAGCCAAAAGAGATCTAGAGGGGATGGTTAGTCTGTTCCAGATCCTGTCATCCACCCAATGCTAACCAGCCCGAAAAATGAATAGGGCCTCCAGGACAGAAAAAGGGTCATCCACCCATTGAGGCTAGTGGTTGAAATCTTAGCTTTTGTTGGGTACTTGAACCCTTTGGGATGAGCCCAGGCTGGCTCAACGCTCCTCAGCCCTTGCTCCAGCACAAACTTCTAGCTCTGAAGTGAAGCTCATTTGTTAAAGCAAGGGCCGAGCCAGGAACCGAGTCTCTCGATCCCCGCAGAAGGACCACACAGCAACCCCTGATGGTCTTTCATTAACAACTCAGGCCTTGGCGGCCACAGTACCTCACCCAACCGCCAACACAGTGCAAAATGGAGCGAGTTCGAAGACGCGTGGTCTGCGCTTTGTTTCTGCACTGGGTGAAATGTTCTCCTTCCTCCCCCTCCCGCCGATCTCCCACCTGCAGGACTCTGACACCTTTGCCCAACTGGCCGCAATAGAAAGCGTCCCTCTCAGCTTCCCTTTTCCGCGTCCACCCCCTCTGGATTAAGAATCCGGTTCCCATATTTGAACATTTGAATCCATCATTTTTGAATCCATCCTTCAGCTGCTCGGAAATCTCTATCGAGCGGGCCCAGCCACGACGCCACAGCCTCGGGCCGCGTCTGGCCGGGAGAGGGCGTTCCACCCCTATCCGAGACATTCTCAGAAATTCAGATCAAGCTGAGCAGCCGATGTGGGCGATTCTGCCCTTAAGGTACTCGTTGGTCTCAAAAACTGCACGCCTGCACCAGTATTCAGTGGTGGAATTAACTAGAAAACCTCGAAGACTGGGGCTTACTGCAGGATGGGGGAGGCTGGGACCTGTTCGCTTTCCATCACTCTTCGGTTTCAAGGGAGGTTGTAAATGTGGACTTTTAAGTGAAGGTCCCTCGTTTAAATAATATTAACAAAATAGTATCAGTCAGTATGCCTATAATAAAATACACCCGAAGCACGGATCTGGATGGCTACGGTTTCCAGTGCCAATGGGAATGATGAGGTCAGGGACGAGGGGCTCCTTCCCCGCGTCTTCCAGTAGGACATGTTGGCACTGTCAGACTACCCCAGGGGCTGAGTAAGGGACGGGGTAACGCCCAGGGGTTCCTCCTCTGGCTGGTATGGTTTCCATGGCAACCCCTAACCCGCCCTCCTCCCAGTGGGTTGGGAGGGATGGGTGTGGCCGCTGCACCCTAGGGGATCTCATGCCCCTTCTCACACTCTCGCACCGGGAGAGGTAAGAGTGCTCAACAGTGGTGGTGGGGAAGCCGAGCTTGCCTAATCTCCCCACTCCCAAGGGTGAGCTGGCGCCCCTAGCAGTGAAACATGGTGGGGTGTTGTCCCCAGGACGCCCTGGGTGTGGGGAGGGACGTGGTTCCTCTGAGGACACCTGCACACGAGAGTCTACCTCGAATCCCACCCGTGTGGCTCAGCTAACGCCCCCTGGATTTGGGCCGAACTGGGGGAGAGGGCTGCGTGGGGTCACGTCCGTTCCACGTGTGCCCTGGGGGCTGTGACTAGACCCCCAGCAAGTCAATAGATCCAACAAAGGGTCTGAAATGAGCAGTGAAAAAAAAGGGATGGAGTTGCGCGTAACGCCTAGGTAATATCCTCGTCGAATGAAAGCCAAAAATAAATAAATAAATAAATAAATAAGTGAAAACCAGGGCTAGGAGCGAAGATGCTAAATCACACAACCTCGACGAACAAAGCAGCGAGCTCCCTTAGAAGACCTCAGGTGAACGAGCGGGTGCGCACGCCGCAGAAGCTAAAAGCCAAGATTTCCACGATCAACACCCCACTTGCTCCTTAACGCGAGTCCCAGCCGGGTCCTCCAAAGCCTGGCCACAGCACTTGGCATGCTACGATAGAGACGTGACTCGCCGCAAAAAGATGGCACCTCGCGTTCAGAGGGGGAAAAAACCGGGGGAGGGGTAGCAGCGGGAGGAGACACATCCTACTCTCCCCCTCCTCGCCCACCCAGGTCCACACCCACTGCCGCAGTGAGGGGCGAGCCCTGCGCGCCAGCCCGTGCCTCCGGCAGGGAGCGCACATGCCGGGAGCCCGGCGCAGAACGCAGAGAAAGGAATCCGCCCTGAAATGCACCTGCAGCCCTAGCGCAGGTCTGTGCTCGGCTGTGACTGTGCGAGCCCTCGAGCGGGGGAACCGCGCCTGGCAAGCCTGCTGACACTGCGAGGCCAGGTGACCCCTGCCTCTTCGAGCTTCCACACTGGGATCCGCGCACTACCTTCTCTCGGGCACGGCGCTGCCCCTGTCACTGTACCAAGCGCGCGCAGGGGGAAGGGCGGCTAAAGTGACAGCGCCTGGACCCCTCCCCATCCTCCCGAATCCTCCCAGCCCCCAAATGTCCCCTGCCGGCTTCTGAAGGAGGAAAAGGGGAGGGGGAGGGACACCGCCTTAAATCAGGGCCAGTAAAGGCCCCATCAGAATCACTGTCAAGGAGGTGTAGGGAGAAGCATGCACGCAGTCATCTTTTCTAGGACCCAATCCACACCTTCCTTGGGACTGATGGCAATCAGGGGCAGAGAAATTTGATTTCAGGTTCAGTTTCGGGGGTCATCGTTGGACCCCACACACACACACACACACACACACACACACACACACACACACACAGACCCACGCCCATTGCGGCAAAAGGCTGAGATCCAGAGCACAGAGCAACCCCCTCCCCTAGGTCACCGCCATCCGCGCCCCACCCTGCTGGCACAGACACCCCCCCTCCCGTTTGCGTGGAACGGATGGTGCAGACCCCAGCACCCACAGACACACGCATTCGCCCGCGTGCGTGCATCTTTTGCACGCGTTCCTTCCCAGCTCCCCAGCGCGGAGGGCGCAGAGAGGCCCCCGCCGTTGCGCCTGACTGATGCCCAGCGCCCTAAATCCATCTCTGGGGTGAGGGGCGACAGGAGGATGGCGCACAGGGCCAGATGGGGACCGGATTTCAGAGATGCAGCACTTACCTGATGGTTTATAGAAGGCGAGGATAGGAGAGGACAGCGGAGGAGAAGGTGGTTGTGGCGGCGGCGGCGGCGGCGGCGGCGGCAGAAGGTGGGCGGTGGCGGCGGCGAGGCTTGCTGCTGGTGCCGGAGGAGCTGGTGGGTGGTGGAGACTGGGAGCGCGCGCGCCGCCGAGAGAGCGCGTTCCCGAGGCCGGCGGGCGGCGCAGGCGCGAGCCACGGGAGCGCGAACCTCGCGAGGGGAGGGGCGGGCAGTGAGGCCTGCGGGGCACCTCCCCTTCCGGCCACCAGGAGGCGCGCGCGAGCGCCCCCCGGCCCTCCCCTCCCCGCGCCGCCCGGCCTCGCTGCTCTCCTCGCTTCCTTTCCCGGGTCCCGCCACGCCTCGGGCCGCCGCGCTGACCGCCGCGCGCACGCGCGTGCTCCGTGGCGCACGCGCACCCTGGCCGCCCGGGGCTGCAGCCTTTGTCTAGTCCAGGGGTCCCCTCCCTTGGTCCCCGAGGGGTCCCGGGTGAGCCGTGTGCGCATCCTTGCTGGCTCGCCAGGCGGTACATGCGGGACCCCGAGGCCTCCTGCAGGCGTCTCCCGAAATGTGGTCCTCCGGAGGATGGAGACCACTTCCCCAGGGGCCGCTGTTGGCTTGCTTTCTTTCCACCTTTTTTGTTAATGGCCAAAGTGAATGATTTCCTTGACAAATCCTCTTGAAACAGGTTAATTTTGATAGTAATACAGTTTAGAGTTTTCGTGAGAAAAAATTTTTTTTTAATCAAAGGAGCATTCAATCTCATTAGGTATCTAACCGTGACCCTAGGGAAGAAAAAAAAAATCTTAAAATAGGTACGTTTTAATGACGCTTACCGCACTGCAAGGCGTTTCCACAGTTATTTTTATCTCGTTTGTTGAGACACCTTTGTACAGCTTGAGAGCTGAATTTTTAAGGCGCTTGCTAGAGATGGCCACCTCCTGGATGTCAGGCTTCCATGTGGAAATTGGCCATTAGTCCTTATTCTAGCCACCTAGGCGTGGGCTGTGGCTGTAATTTAGATTTCTCACTTCCCCAGAGCTCAAAGCTCTTGGGCAGCTGCAGCCTGTTCAAGTGCAAGGAAGAGGGGCAGACAGCTCTTGCCAGAGAGGTGGAATCTTGTCTTGAAGCTTTAATTTGCACAACTTTTGTTCTTTCTTTCTTTCTTTTACAAGGCAGGTTCTCACTACGTAGCCCTGGCTGGCCCAGGGCTCACAGAGATCTACCCGCTTGCTTCTGTCTCCAGAACGCTGGGATTAAAGATGTGTGCCACTGCCCCAGCTATTGTTTAAAAAACTCCAATGTTGTACCAACTCAGTGTGTTGGCTCATATCTCTAATCCCAGCATTCAGGAAGGCTGAGGCAGGAGGGTCACCATGAGTTCAAGACCATCCTGGAATACTTAGTGAATTTTGCTGCGCTTGCAGAGGACCAGGATTCCCAGCACCCACATGGCAGCCCACAACTGTCTGTAGCTACAGATCTGGGGGATCCCACACCCTCTTCCAGATTCTAAGGGCACCAGGCATGCCTGAGGTGCACATACATGCATACATACATACAGGCGAAACACTCATAAATCTTTGAACTAACTAATGTGCAAGGCTTTGGGCTAGATTTTCAGGCACCACCGATATTTTTTTTTCATATGGGCTTAATTACTGTATTATTTTGGGAGCTCTGGGTAGATGATAGAAACGGGGCTAATTTCTTAAGCCTCGGGTTCTGAATTTCTAGGTCTGACCTTCCTGTTCTTCCAACTATGACCACCCTGCTTCAAAACTCCTACTTAGATTCTGGACATCTAGGACCTTAGTGGCCTCCCCACTCTCAGTGTCCCCTGCTCTCAGTTTTCCCCTGCTCTTCTGGTCAGATCAATTTTCAGACATGATCCTTTCATTCATGAGAATCCCTTGCCCAAAGATGTCTACCAGCTTCCAAACAGGTGCACTGAAACTCGCTGGCCTAGCTTAAGCCCTTCCCCTGGATCAGAACTCCAGTCTATTCCACTTCTATCGATCACCAGCTCTGTGGCCAAGGCTGCTTAACTGAGTCTCTTTTCCACCTCTGTGCTCTGGGTTCCTTTTGCCTCCAAGGTCCCTGCCACCCGGTAATACCCACCTAACCTTGACAATCAAGCTCAGATTTTACCAGCGCCTTCTCTCAACCCAAGTAGAAGGACTATTTCTGGTCTCTACAAGGAACTTAGCCAAATTATTCCCGAGGAGAGGAGTAGAATTAGCATTTATCTTGCAGGGCTGGCGTTTTCTTATTGTCTTCAGTAGTCGATGTTTCCTGGGTGGGGAATCACACACCCCTGCCCATTACCAGCTATGGGATGTGGACCTGTCCAAACAGAAACGTAAGGCATGGCAAGTTTCTGTGTCTTTGGCTTCCTTTCCACTACTAGAAAGCCATATTGCCTGGCACTGCTCCTGCCGCTGCCGCCGCCGCCGCCCAGATCTTTGAGTGAAAGGCCGAAGGAAGTACATACAAAATGAGCAAAAATTAAAATTTGTTGCAGGAGCACCCGAGATTTTGGGTGCTGGTTGTTAGCCTGACAAAGCTGACTGTGGCATTTTAATGAATGTCTCTCTGTGTGGTTTCTTACACAGTAACAAATTTCACTCACTAAATGATACATTGTATTTATGTCATTATCATTTTCAAGGTCAATGCTTCTGTTACACTTTATTTTCTTAATATGTGTCACCTGTAACCATCAGAGTGACACCCTCCACATTCAAACTTATCATTATGAGCCCGTAATATAGAGTGTGACTGGAACTGTCAAGGACCTAATGACACTAGTCCCCTGATACCAAATGTTCACATTTGCCTACACTAAATGGAGGTAATGAATGCTAGAAAGAGTCGTGAGTGAATCTGTCCTTTAAATGTATGTGATGTGGAGCTGAGTGTTCATTCCAGATAATTTGATCACTGTGGGTAGCTAATGGCTCACTAATGCAGGCCAAGAAAATGTATCCCCTCCCATCCCTCTGCCCCTCCCTCTTGCTGAAATAGAAAGCTTATGGCCTCTTGGGTCCAGCGCATGCCCACACATGTAGGACCATAGAAGGCAGATTAGTATAAGGGAGAAATTGACAGGGATAGCAGGAACTGTGGGCCCAATCTTAGCCATCACGTGTGAGGTGAGACAAATTCATTACCTTCTCCTGGCTTCAAGTCCTTTATTGAACAGTCTCAGATACAGTTAGACCCGAGATCGATAGATAGTCTGGAAGCTCTGCCACTAAATGTATTCACACACACACACACACACACACACACACACACACACACACACACACACCCCGATGCATTGAAACAAATGGATCCTAGCTGTACTGGTTCTAACCTGGTTCCAGTAGTTCAGTAGTACAGGTAGGTTTTCCAGGTTGGGGTGCATACATTCTCCCTCCCTGAGAGATTACGGAAGCAGGCTCCTTACATTTTGTGATTCTACCACTTCTTAGGGCCTTGTTCTTTGTGGGAGTGAGGAAGGGGAGGAGCATGTGGAGGAGCTACTGTTTGTCCCAGAGGCCGGCATGGGATCACTTTAGTCATATGGTCATCTCCAACTGAAAGATCAATAAATGCAGGAGAGTCGTGGGTTCTGGAAGAGGAAAAAGGATTTCAGTAAATGCCAGTGTCTGCCTCATATATTCTATGCTGGGGGCTAAAAGGACCCTGGGAAAATGAAAACTCTGTTATGAGACTGTGTGGATGTGGTGAATATATTGGAAGACCATGAAGGATGGGGGTGGGGTGGGGGGTGGAAAGCTTCTAGGGAAAGATGAAGCCAATTTCTCCCAAGAAAGAAGGTATTGCTAATACTTCTGTATCAGAGAGTGTTTGTCTTAGTTATGGTTTCTATTGCTGCAACAAAACGTTATGACCAAAAAGCAAGTTGGGGAGGAAAGAGTTTATTTGGCTTACACCTTCACATTTCTGTTCATCACCAAAGGAAGTCAGGACAGGAACTCAAACAGGGCAGGATCCTAGAGGCAGGAGCTGATGTAGCAGCCATGGAGGAGTGCTGCTTACTGACTTGCTTCCCATGTCTTACTCAGCCTGCTTTCTTATAGAGCTCAGGACTACCAGCCCAGGGATGGCCCCACCCACCATAGGCTGGGCCCTCCCCCACTGATCACTAATTGAGAAAATGCCTTACAGTTGGATCTTATAGAGATATTTCCTCTACTGAAGCTCCGTCCTCTCTGATGATTCCAGCTCGTGTCAAGTTGACACACAAAACCAGCCACTACAGTGGTTCACCTGTTCTACACCATGGAACCCTTTAACATCTCAGGAAATCCCTTTCCAGAAGAACATTTTTAAATGCATAAAGTGAAATGTGTATAATTACAGGCCAGAGAGCTGGATCAGTGGTTAGAGTGCTTACCATTCTTGCAGAGGTCCCAGGTATGGTTCCCAGTACCCATATTAGGTGGCTTATAACTTCTTGTAACTCCAATTCCAGGGGATCTGATGCTCTCTGGCCTCTACAAGCACCTGCATGCATGTGGTACATATAAACTCATGTGGATACACACACACACACACACACACACACACACACACACACACACACACACACGTAAAAAGAAATAAATCTTTAGAATGTGTACAATTACATAGCATACATTTTATGTGTGGTTATCAAAACATTAAATTACTGTGCTACGGTGTGTGGTGACATGGTGATGTCCTGCCCAGATCTCTTCAGGGAGGAGGACATGCTCCAGTACTGGAGAGCTCTCTTCAGACAGGCCTCTGGCTGTTCAAACATTCAGGGATAGCCTCAGCTACAAAAGTCTCCTGGTTCAAGTGGACATGGTGGCACATACCTGTAAGTCTAACGATCAGGAGAATTAGAAGTCCAAGATAATCATAGGTTATTAAGCAAATTTGAGGCTAGCCTGGACTACATGACACTGTCTCAAAAACAAACCAAAAATAAATAAATTCTCTTGTTCTGAGAAGACCCATACTCAACGACTGGCGGAGGTGTGGGAATAAAGACCAGGTCTTCTTGGTCCACAACAGACACTCATTATGGCTCATGTTAACTTTAGAGGAAGTCAAGTTCTGCCAGGCTGTTTCATGGTGAATGGAG